CTGTCTTGATGATGACAGCTTTGTAGTAGAGGCTAAAGTCTGGGATTGTGATGCCTCCTGCTTTGGTCTTCTTCTTCAAAATTACTTTGGCTATTCGGGGCTGAAGGCCAAAATTTTGATTGTGTGTTCTTGTGAGCGAGTGGAGTGTCCTTAGCTTTAAGGTGCATAGAGGAGGCAGGTAGGTTGGTAAACGTTGTCCCCAGATGCGAAGGATGCCAAGGATGAAGGATGAAGGACCTAAGTCATTACTTACAGGCAAAGCTGACTTCGTTTCAGTCTCCCCTCCATGACTTTTGTTGTGGCCTCCTGATTTCCTTCTCTCTCAGACCCTTATACTCACAATAGGAACCCACCGCCCAAGGTAGTTAGTTCATTTTATTTGGACTACATTTTGGGAGGGTTTCCTCGGTTATATTTAGGGGCTGTCTACATATTTTAGGAGCTGGTCTGCTTGGCTCCTATTTTGCAAACATTTTTTAACTATGTACCTGGGACTCTTTCCTAGTCTTTGTACAATTCTGTGTTGTTTGTTTTTCTTCTCCCTCTCTGGAAATTTTCTTTCATGCTGCTCAGGGGTAAAGATTTTTATTTTACCAAACTAATTCTATTTTCTTTTCATCTACAAATTTCTATGAGTTGGTCTGCTGTATAATTCTGTACTGGTTCCCAGTGCTATTAAAAATGTCGTCCTTTAAAAAAAATGTCTTCCGGGGCGCCTGGGTGGCACAGTCGGTTAGGCGTCCGACTTCAGCCAGGTCACGATCTCGCGGTCCGTGAGTTCGAGCCCCGCGTCAGGCTCTGGGCTGATGGCTCGGAGCCTGGAGCCTGTTTCCGATTCTGTGTCTCCCTCTCTCTCTGCCCCTCCCCCGTTCATGCTCTGTCTCTCTCTGTCCCAAAAATAAATAAACGTTGAAAAAAAAAAATTAAAAAAAAAAATGTCTTCCTTTAAAGAAATTATATGTTTTCTGCCATTTCAGTGATTGGGGATAGGAAGGGTAGATAATTGTCAGTTCACCATCTTGACTTAAATTTCTTATACTAGTTCTTGTGTTTTATTTGTCCCTTAAAAAAAAAAGTCCTTTGCTCACCTTGTAAAGTAATGCCTATCCTCTATAAGAAATTTAGAGGGGCACCTGGGTGGCTCAGTCGGTTAAGCATCCGACTTTGGCTCAGGTCATGATATCTCGGTTTGTGAGTTCGAGCCCTGCATTGGGCTCTGTGCTGACAGCTCAGAGCCTGGAGCCTGCTTCAGAGTCTGTGTCTCCCCGTCTCTCAGCACCTCCCATTCTCAAGCTCTCTCTCTCTGTCTCTGAATAATAAATAAGCATTAAAAAATTACAAAAAAAAAGAAATTTAGAAAATGTGGTCAAGCAAGGTGAGCAACAGTTTTTTAAAAGACAGAATACTGTATGTATTCATAAGTATCAAATGCATCGTATTTTGCAGTAAGGTTCCTTCAGTAAAGAAAAGAATATTTATGTCTTAAATTTTAGTGAAGCCATTGTCTGCTAAAGCAAAAATCTATTTCCAGCTTTATAAACATAACGTGGTGCTGTTGCTGCTGAATTCTCGTCACTGCAGAAGATAATCATAGGGTGTGTTTAAAAAGTAAGATTAGACAGGTTTGTGTTTGGCCATGTGTAATGGAAGTGTTGGAGTTATTTTGCTTCACATGGAGATTTGGAGGTCCAAGTCTGACAGGGCATTCACCTGATACCTTTGCACAAACCCAGGTGGGTTTGATCTTCTGCCCCTGCCATCCTTTGCCGTGGCCATCATGCTTATTCGAGCAAGATACCCGGCAACTGTAGGCGGTCATCTGCGGTGCTGTCATGAGTGTACAGGAGCTGACCAGATTCTTTTTTGGTCAGGAAAGCCTCAGCCATTCCGGAAGCCCTCTTGGTAAAATTACACTTGCATCTCGTGGACCACACTTGTCACGTGATCACTCTTAGCTGCAAAGAATCCTGGAAATGAAGTTCTTTGGTTTAACTCCCTGGAACCACACCAAGACATTGTTAAAGCAAAGGGAGTTTGTGGCGGGCAACAGCAGTGCCTGCTACAGGGGCCGTCGTCTGTCCAGTGTCGGCCAGAGGGCCTCGCATTTAGGCACTCACGGTAATGTTCCCTGAAGGGCTGCCCAGGCAGCCACGACTTTGTATGTTGTCACACACATCTAAATGCATACACACAGTGCAGTACACAAACACATTAGAAGTGTCTGCCTGAATAAGAATGGTACTTTCCTTTCTCCGTCTAGCCAGATGATGCTTCTCTCAACAGTACCGCCCTGTCGGATGGGTCCCCAGATGAAGAAGGGAGTTTTACAGTTCCCAGGAGTGGCTCTGTGGTAAGTCGTCACATGCCAAGACAATTGCATATCAGGGCAAAACTGCAAGTTCAAGGCGAGAAGAAGCAATTTCCTCAAAACAGATAAGAGAAACTTGAACTGAGATTGCAAAGAAACCACAGCTGCCAGTAGACCCACCAGTGTTGGGACAGTTAGGAAGTAGGAGACTCAAAACTGAGGAACAACTGGATCTTAGTTTAAAAGAGGGCTCCATAAACTAATACCTCTATGGTCAGAAAACAAAGGATGTTCTCTACGTGTATCAAGCACGGAGGAATTTACCTTTGGTCCTCTGGGCTGAGTTCACACCAGTGATCCAGCCTAACTCTGCCATTTGACCCAAAGGTCCTCTTACCTGCAGGATAAATTAAAAAGCCCTCATCCTGATATTGAAGGCACTGTTGCCTACATTTCCAGCCTTAGATCACACCCATATAAATCCTCCAATTCAGACAGATTCTGTACTTTTCTTTCTCAGAAAGTCTCATCATTCCCCCTCCCCAGAACCACTGGGGATCCCCGCCTGGGGTCTCTCTGTAGCTGCTCTGGCAGGGGGGTTACAATGGACCAGAAGAAGTGAGAGACCCTGGTAAATGAGATAGCAGTTCTTTGATGACAGGATGATTGGAAGGCAAGAGCCCATTAGTCAGGCAAATGGAGGGGGCGCATTTACAAGTCCCTCTGGGCAGTAGTTTGTCATCTGGCATCCAGTTTGAGAGAAAGGATAGTTGATGTTCACATGCATAACACATTAGATCCCCACTGTTCAGAGAGACAAAGCTGTTAGCCCCAGGTGAAGGAGCTTTTCTGTTGTGTTTTCAGAGTTTTGGTTTTGAAATTGCTTTGCTACAGTGATCTATAAAAAGCATAAAAGAATGCGAGTGTCTTCGTCGATGGGTAACATAAATAGCATTACAGGTTATGGCACAGATAGGTTAGGGGTTACCCACAGTGTCTGACCTACTGGCTTTAAATTCAGCTGCTACTTTCCTATTTAAGACTGTGCATTGGAATGCAAATGAGTGAGGATGTCTCTGTTTTAGAGATAATCTCCAGTACTGATGGCTGAAAACAGAGTAAGTCATTCACAAACTCTGACAACTACTAAAATGAGGAGTTACCTACAATAGACCTTTCAGAGTTGTGCTGTGCACCTGTGACTGGGGACTCCTGCCTAAAGCTTTGCATAGGATCCTATATATTCTCTTAGCTGGTGATGCTACCATGTGCCCAGGGTACCATCCCTAAGCGTTAGCGTCAACTCTACCTATATGCTTCCCTCTACATGCTCATCTCTGAGACCTATGGATTTTGCCTTATAAAGAATATTTCTAGGGGTGCGTGGGTGGCTCAGTCAGTTAAACGTCAGACTTCAGCTCAGGTCATGATCTTGCGGTTCGTGAGTTCGAGCCCCGCATAGGGCTCTGTGCTGACAGCTCAGAGCCTGGAGCCTGCTTCAGATTCTGTGTCTCCCTCTCTCTCTGCCCCTCCCCTACTTGTGCTCTGTCTCTCTCAAAAATAAATAAAAATTTAAAAAAAAAGAATATTTCTACATTCTACATTCTGGAATATTCTGCATTCCAGAATATTCTACATTCTAGAATATTTCTACTCCCCTCTTTTCCTGTAACTACTTACTTAGTACAGAAGCTCATCTTCTTACTGTATTACTGAGATAGCCTCCTAAGTGATCTGTCCCTGACTTTAGCTTATACCCCTCAAATTCATCCTTCCCACAGCTGAAAGTCATTGATCTATAAAAATGCAAGGCATTGAGGAGGGCACTTGTTGGGATGAGCACTGGGTGTTGTACGTAAGTGATGAATCATGGGAATCTACCCCCAAAACCAAGAGCACACTATATACACAGTATGTTAGCCAACTTGACAATAAATTATATTAAAAAATAAATAAATAAAAAGTAAAATAAATAATGAATGAATGGATAGATAGATAGATAGATACAAATAAGTGCAAGCCTTGTTTAACACCTACTGACGTCTTCTAACCCCCACGTCTTCTAGTTAACATAAACACTCCTGACCCACCTTACTCGTCTCTCTCTCTAGCTGACTTTACTGCCCCAGCCATTTTATAAAAGCCAGCACAGCACTGCATGTGGTTCCATGCACACACCAAGTAGCACTTGAAGCAGAATGGTTACATAATTGAGTTGCTGAGGGGGAGGATTTTGGGTAGGCCTTATTTTCTAGGTTTTCATTAATCCATTCATTTATTCACCAAATCCTTGTTAGGCATATATTGTCTGCAAATAGGATACTTGAAAGCTTGAGAATATAAGAGAAAGACAGTGGTCTTGTGTAGCAGTTATAGATAGTGTTTCCTGGAGTAAGTTAATCATTCAGATTTTCTAAAAGGAAAGAAAAAAAACTAAATCTTTTTTTTTCTGAAAACTGATTGAATGCTAATTATGATATAAATAAAAGTGTCAGCAGTATTGAGACTCAAAAAAATCTGATTCGTATCAGTCTCCAGTGTGACTTATTTTGGATGGTTTGTTACTCAGATATCTTTATTTAGAAATGTTGAACAAATTGGCTAGTTGCTAGAGAGAAGAGAACTTAACCCTTACTGCACCTATACTGAAAATCGTTCTAGAACTTCTTACCACCGGGGAAATACATTTTGACCTCTCCGCTTCTTGATTATAAGGAGGCATTGGCACCCCAGGTTGGTTCTGCAGTTTCTTCTAGATGGTAAGATTTCTAGTAATTCAGTGAAGTGGTAGCAAGGACTTCAGGGGTCCTGGCCATGACTTCTGTAAAGTATATCTTACTTGGCAGGGTGAATTCCCAAGGACATTTCATTGTCATCTTCAAGACTTCAGAGGGCCCCAACAACTTGCCCTTGGAGTTTACGTTGTGAAATGGTATAAAGTAGATAACCTAACTTGGTCTTTTCCAAAAGGATAACCTTGGCTTGATCAATTTTTTTTCAATCTTTCATCTTTTATGTACATTAAAAATGTTATTTTATGATAATTGAAACCTCTGTATGTATGGGGTCTATCTTAATTACTATGACTCTGTGGTTTGTTTTTGATGTCTGTTGGGGTGTGTTCACCCTTGTTCTGGATCAAAATTTTCTTTCTTCTCAGGAATTTTTACTTCCAAATGAGCTTAGGATGACTCTATAACCAGCCATTAAATAAATCTTGTTAGGACTTCACTAAGAATTTTATTGAATTTAAAGATTAATGTTGGGGAGAAAATTCACATTTTAAAATACTGACTCTTCCCACTGAGAAATAGTAATTGTCTTTCCACTTATTTATGTTTTCTGTTCTTCAATAAAAGTTCATAATATTCTTTCTTATACATTTTTTATTGATTAATTACTTAGGAACTTAATAGTTTTCATTGATATTTTAATGGTAGATTTTTTTTTTATGATACCTTCTAGTTTGTTTTTGCGGCACTGTAAGGGAAGTAAATTTTTGGATTTCTCACGAGAGTATATTTTATAGCTTCCTTTCTGAAAATTCTTCTTCTAAGAACTTTTCATTTGATTTTATAATTTATAGATATCATCTGAAATAGTGAAAGTTTTCTTTACTCAATCTTTAAAATAGTCATTTTTAAAAAAAATTTTTAATGTTTATTTTTATTTTTAAGAGAGAGCGAACGAGGAAGAGGCAGAGAGATGGGGAGACAGGATTTGAAGCAGGCTCTGTGCTGAGAATGGAGAGCCTGATGTGGGGCTCAAACTCACAAATGATGAGATCATGACCTGAGCCGAAGTCAGAAGAGAGGCTTAACCGACTGAGCCACCCAGGCATCCCTAGTCATTTTCTTTCTTTTCCCTGTTTAATTGGACCGATCACAATCACTGATTATATTGAATAATAATTATGGGGATCTTTGAATAAGTTCTTGATTTTCTCATGAATTCTTTTAAGTTTCATTGTTAAGTAGAATATTATTTGTTCTAGGTTTCTGAGACTTCTAGTTGTTTTTATTAGAAATGGAGGTTGAATTATATAAAATAATTGTTCATCATCTATTAAAATGAATATATTTTTCATCTTGAAGCAATTACTTAAGGAAATTCTATTGATGTCTTTCTAATATTGAACTATAATTTTGTTGATAAAAATGAACCCTACTTATTGTGTTACATTATTCTTTTATTACAATGCAGAATATATCATTTACTACTATTTTAGCATTAAAAACATTTTTTTAATGTTTGTTCGTTTTTGAGAGAGAGATAGAACGTTAGCAGAGGAGAGGTACAGGAAGAGGAAGACACAGAATACGAAGCAGGCTCCAGCACAGAGCCTGACGCGGGGTTCAAACTCATGGACCGTGAGATCATGACCTGAGCCAAAGTCAGATGCTGAACCAACTGAGCCACCCAGGCACCCCAATTTTAGCCTTTTTAACTACTGTTCTAATAAATGGGATTAGCCTA